ATACGTGTCCATCTATGCATTGAAATTTAAACTTAGTGAGATGGTTTGTGAGTGACCTGGTGTTACAGCCTTATATTGGACTGAATCTTCTTCCTGTGACATTGTACTAGTTTGCTGCGTGCTCATCTGGTACAAGTGCAAAGTATTCCTACAGGATTTGCATTAATTAACTGAAAAAAGCGTGGCTATTCAGTTATCATTACATCACTTTAGTTAGTAGGGTGCTTTTAGAGCGAGTAACAGAAAGCACTGAAATTGAAAAGCCTCTCCCCCCCCCCCAGCATGTAGGTAAGGTCCCGATTAGCGTCAGCTGCCACACGCGGCACCACAGGCACCTTTCTGCTGACGGGGGCTGCGGCACGGATCACCAGAAGCACATCTCCACTAACAGCCTTGGACATGTAGGAATTGCATCTGCAACTCTTAATTCCTAGGTGTGCTGGTATTGTGAGCCAGCACTCCTCATACTTCTGAGGGGCATTTATCAGCAAGAAATTAGTATCTGCTCTTCTTACACGCTTCAGTTCTGGGAGGATGAAATTCCTGCATGAAAAGCTGATCATGCTTTATTTTTGCCCTATAATTGGCTCCCTGAGGCAAATGTACAGTCACGGCAACTACAAAGAAGAAGCAGGGTATCCAAATGTACAGCCCTTCCTCCGCTCACCTCAGAAACTGAGTCTGATGGAGCCAAATTAGGAAAAAAAAAGTATACTGTTTTGTACTCGGCTTCATTTCCATGCATATGCTAAAGCTACTTCGAGCTATTTTAATTACACTGTTTTCAAGAGCATAGATCCAATAGTCAAAGAAATTATGCAAGACGAAGTGCCAGTCAAATTGTTTGTGCATTTAACCCCTCCTAAACTCTACATAAACTATTTTCATTATGATGCTTCAAAATTTTGGGCTTCCTACCCATCCTAGTTCTACCCCTCTACCCCTGCCCCCCACTGTTTGTTTCAATGTAAACCCCCTTTTCCACCCTTCATTTAATTCAGCCACTGCTCTTTGCCATCTTCATTCAGCCTTTGACATCTCTTCACTTGTCTGAGCTGGATTTTCTCCTTTGAACCCACCCGTTTGACAACTGCTGTCTTGTTCCGATGACCACTGGCTCTGAACACCAGCCTGCGTAACTCCTCCTCCCGACAGAGTAGGCCGCGGGCCTCTCCCTCAAAGACGGGCAACTCTTGGGACTGGTCTACGCATGTGAGTTTTGTTGGTCTGACAAGGACGTGTTCACGTTAAAATACACCAGAGTGCCACCTGCATGTGCTGTTGTGCTTCACTGTCACCAGCCGGCGTCGGTAACACGTGGTAGCACGACCCACCGGCTCCTTCCCTAGGCACGCTGGCAGTACTCACTGGTGTCTCCTTCCCTTCCAAGACCGGCACGGTAAGATTAGTTTGCATCTTTACTGGGAGGTTCTGCTTAGTTTGGGGGAAAAAGTAGGTTGGGCTTAAAATGGTGGCTCTCTGTGGGAAAGGGCCTGGCTTCTCTCTCCGCCTTCTGCTGGGGGTGACAAACCCTGCCGTGGAGCTGGTGGCTCAGTAACTGTGGCTCCTCTGGGTGAGGGGGCACTATGGAGCCCTGCCCTCCCCCCACGAGTTGGCCATCGAGGCTGTACCTCTGCGGCCGAACTCCCATTCCAGCTTCTCCCACATAGGGTCTCCCCTCTGTTGGTGTATCTCCCCGCACTGGTCAGGTTCCCAGATCGGGAGTTAAGCTCTGGCCTAGCGCTTTCTCCATTCCGGCTTCAACTAAGGTGACAACTGCTTGTTTCACTTCCTTGGCCGCTCTGCTGATCTTGCGTTTTCAAGCCCAAAACAGCAAAGGCAGCTGAGACAAACCACACTAACAGCTGCGGAGCCTCGCTGCCGTACCCCGAGCCTGCCTTCCCCAGCCCGCACCACATCTCTATCCTCCATCCACACGGTGATTTAGGCGCTCTCAGTTTACCTGAGACAGGGGTACGGTGAAAGCACACACACAACTCCAGATCGCTGAACTAACTCAGAGTAATTCAAAGTCACAAGTTGGAACTGATTATGTGACTATAAAACCAAAACCGTTTGGCCTTTTCAAACTAAAAAAACGAAAGCTCCAGCACTTACAGGAACAACGTTTTAAATCAAGCTTCCACTTAAACAAGGGCAAGGGTCCTCATAGACCCTTACATGCTCTGTCAGCCTGGTGACGGAAAACCCAGTAGCCAGTTCTCTAGCACCGGTAACGACTGCTAACTCAGTAGTAAGGAGCTTTCCTTCATCACCACTTAGAGACCCTGAGTTCCGCCTCTTGGGGACAAACTATTGGCAGTTGCGCAAGTACCACAAATAAGAAATCTCCACATGACCTTTATTTCTCTTTAGTTTCGTAAGCAGTTGGGATCCAGTTAACAAGGTCAAATTGCAATCCAATAAATACTTTCTGTTCAAAAGTATTTGGAGAGTTCTTTCTACTGCAAGACTTTCTACTAGTACAATGTTCATTAAATACAGTGAATTTTTAAACAAGATTAATACAAAGCTGGTCCTTGAAACAGAAACCATCAGCAGAAGAATTTTATGCTAACAAAATTTGCAAACAGGTACTTAAAACTGTACAGAGCAGAGACCTTGCACTGAAGTAGAACAACTCAACCAACCTATTTTTGAGGCTATTTGAACTCCAATCTAATCTCAAGAATCAGAATGAAATAATTGAAAAATACCAGCAGAAACTGAAGTTACTTATAGTCCTGTGGTTAAACCACTGAATTAAAAATAAAAAACCCCTTTATCAATGAAAAAAATACCACCATGCTTTGTGTGTGTGAAATCAAATGGTTTAAACTTGAGTGCCGTTGTCTCAATTAGATGAATATTCAAAGTGGTACGATTTTTCCCTTCTCTTCAATGTTCTGCCAACTGTATAATTTTTAGGCGCGGAAGATGCTTTTGAACCACTCTAGGTGCGCAACTGATACAGAACATAGTTCTTTGTACAGCATTTTGATTTGAAAATTTGAATAATTTGAAAATTATTAGGCACTAATCAGTCAAGAGAAAAAGCAGCAAATCACTGATGATCTCTTGCTTTAGAAAAACAAAAACCAGGGGAATTTCGAATATATTTTGCACTTTCTTACCAGATTACTTGACCACTTCTAAATAGGGATGCAGGTGGTTAAGAAGAGAGAAACAACTACTTCCTACATTTTTAAGAATACTGAAGTCCTTGGAGAACACTGGCACAGAAGCTATATTCCACATGTACATTCACTTGTAAATACTTTAATGTAGATCCAAACATAAAAACGTTGGTAATTTTACAGAATTCTGTTATGTACCAGTCCCAAAATATGGTTACTTGTATTAAAAAAAGCCCCTCTATTAAGGTATTTGCAGTTTGTAAGGTTATTTAGGGACATTTGTTGGCCACTGAGCCCTGCTGTTTGTCTACAATTTTCTCACAACTTATAACAGGAGGAAGTGGTGAAGATAGCCACTGCGAGAAGTACATTTTACCTGCTTTTTTGTTTCCTGTTTTTCTATCTTCTGAAGCCCCCACAACTATTGATGAACTGTTGGTTGGCAAAGAGAGCACAGATGGGAGCGAACAGGGAATCGCATATTTATATTGGAATCGTGTGCCTCACAGAAATTTACCATGAGGTCTGTTTACCCAGTGTGCCTAAAATAGGTACATGATTTGTTTATTGCTTGAAGATCTGCAAGAGTTAATAAAATTCAGAAGAGACTATCGTCAGTAAGTACGCTATTTGAGATAAATACAGATAACAGCCGTCTTATCTAAGCTTTCCAATTTCAGCCTGTTTAAGCCCAAATACCATTTTCATGACACTACAAGCTTAATGACAAAATAACATATGGCACAATAACTTCTCCAGCAAAGATATGTGGACAAGAAAGTATTACAGAGTAAAATCTGACCAAGTGGAACGTTTGCCCTGACCTAGATACAAACCTGGTTTGTTAAGGTTGGTCGCAGAAAAACCCAACTACGTTTTCTATCTCCACTTTGCAATTTAAAGTGTGGCTCTAGGAGACAGCGTAGGGCATTTCCCACTCTGTATACAGGACAGAATTTTGCAATTAATTTCTGTGGGTTAAAAAGCCTGGGCCCTGTAGTTACTTAAAACACCAAGATATCAGTGTGGTAAGAAGCAAAGTAAGTACAAGGCCAAAGAAATGCTGAATTGAGCAATGAAGTTAGCGATGGAGATTAGCAAAATGTTCTTTTGTCCTGGCAAAGTATCAGCAACTCACAGGATTCCTGAAACACAGGTCTTATTCACAGGAGCAGTCCGCGTCCATCCCTGCCCCGTCGCTCCCACTGCAGCTGTCCGGTACCGGAGCACTGTCTCCCCCCTCTGTTACCTGTCCCGCACCGCTGCCAGCCGTGCTCTGCCCGAGGCACACCTGCGCATCACTGCCATCCGTATCGTAACTGGCAGGACATGTTTCTTCTGACGCCCCGTCATGATGGGTACCTCTGTCGTTGGTCCCAGATACCGCATCTCCCAAGTCTATGACATCATCCAGCTGCTGTTCTGGATCAGGCTTGGCTGCTGTTGAGATTTGTGCTTCTAAGTTTCTTGCGTTCTCTGTGACTTCAAATTCCTGCTTCTCCTCTGCCATTTGCTTCTCACTGGTACTGAATTTAGCCTTTGTGGAATTCTTAACTTGTTTGTTGTGCATGTCTTCTTTGGAGAACCTCCAGTGAAACTACAAGTAAGAGATCCAAATGTTAAAGACCATTAGAGACAATCTCACATGGGCATTTACTTTCCTGAGTAGAAATGTTTTTAGTACTTAGTTTTGATTCAATGACTCGTTTGAACAGAAAGACCCAAGATTTAAAAAAAATTGCATGACTAAATCAGACAGCTTAAGATCATTTGTGCCTACAGGTATGTATCTGTAAAAAGACTGTGAGGCATTCTGCTTCTGCCGTTTCACGTGCCTAGTGGGTTCCTCTCCACAGGCTGTGTCCCTGCGGAGGCCTGCAGCGCCCTGGCACCGACCCGCGCTGTGTGCAACGCAAGAACGTGAAAAGCTGCACAAGTGCAGATGGAGGAAGCAATCCTATGGCGTTATTCCAGTGTTTTTCACCAGGTTAGCAGCAGAACTAACACCATGCCCAAGACTATACCCAAACGGTAACATATTCTGAACCATTTGTATGAAAGTTTTTGATGGGAAAGCATGAGGCGGCCTCCTGCGGCACTCGCCACAAGACTTACTACAGCCGCCATTTCACAAGAACTGCTTTAACTACTGTTAAAAACCTAGCAGTACCTGAAATACTGACTTGACAGGTATAACATATATAAAAGCTGAAAAATATGCTGCTAATATATCTGTTTCATTTGTCAAAAAATAAATGGACCTTCTCAAGGAAAGCCAGACCATGTTCCATGAGCCAGCCTACACAAGTTTGCTAAGTACAAGTAAACGTGCACAACCATTTTGTCAGCAGTGCCCACGCTGATGGAAACTCAGGGGTGGGTCAGGAGGCAATGTTTGGGTGGCACAACTAATCTCATCAGGCCATTCAGCAAAGTCAGCTGTGGTCCAAAAGTCCTTTTCTCCAGTGCAACCAGGTCTGTGCTGAAGTTGGTCAAAAGAAGGACTCATGTTTGTAATTTTTTGATCTGGCTATTTCTTCCTTAATCAAAAAGCCATTCAAAACCTATTAAGTTTATTAGATTACAAAGACAGAGCAATGCTCTTTCCTTCTGCTAGCCAGAACTTAATGTAAAAAGAAAAGGAGAGGAAAAAAGAAAAAAAAAAAAAAAAAAAGACACCGGTCACAAGATTCTTCTTGGTTTTACTTAGAGGAAGCTATCTTTCACTTAAATAACATTACAATTTAGAGAAAGAGGAAAGATAACATCTCAGTTCTAGAGTTCAACTGAGTATTTTCCTCTTTGATTTGCTGAAGTGCTGGGCACACACAGCTCCCCTTTAACTCCAAGCTCTCTTTGACCAAAGGTAAGATCAGGGCCTTAAATGTGACAAAGATCAAACTCTGTGTGTATGTGCAAATGTATGTCTACTTCTGGCATTTCACAAAACTGCATACTGAATAAGTATCTGCTGAAATAAGTATCACTTTTGTATAAAGTGAATGAACATGACTACCTCATGACTGACTGGATATTGCACTAATAAGAGTACTTCTGTCTTACTGAACAGAAAAATAAGTTGCACTACTCCTTGCATGTTTCCTTTTCATTTTTTTCCTTTTCCTTTCATTTTCATTTTCCTCTGGCTAAACTGAACAGCAGTTAGTTTGTGTGCATAGATAGGATGGACCAGTTTCCAACACTGCAATGTCCCTTTAATCTTACCAGCCTCCTTCCCTCCTCCGAGGGTTATCTATAAACATCTTAGACATGTTGTATCACATGGTAAAAAACCCTGAGAGCCTGTGATGTTGTATGTGCAGAATATTCAGCAACTTAATCAAATGCTAGGTTTGGCACCTTTGATGTGACTCACAACAACCACTTACAGACATTGAACCAGCCTTACATTTCTTTATATAGCTATAATCAGTGTACCCCATTTCTCCTTGACCTTTGGTATGAAAATATGCTGTAGTGATTTTTGCCCGCAAGTATGTCTGTATATTTAATACTGCCAACGAGTAAATCCTTTGTTTTGTCAACCAGACATTGTTAAATAAGTTTTTATATCCCCGAATGAAAAGATTTAAACAAAGTTGTGAGTCATCTGGATGGTATGCATTTGTTACTGTAATACAAGAAATCAGTATCACACTAATTTCTCTATTCGAAGACATACAATCGCATATAGGTTCCCACCTCTTCCATTAAACCCACACACAGTGGCAGGAAAAGAATGACCGAATACAGGCACTCCAACCCTCATCCCAAGACACCTTTAATCACCCAAAAACCAAGAGGAAGAAACAAGGAAGATGGGCTTTGTAACACATTCACAGAACACCCTGGGCTCCAGCTTTGCCAACGAGAGAGGGTAACTCCTAAATCACAGTCATGCTCCCAGGGTTCTCTCCGACTTCGGTCAGTTCAAACACTCTCCTGGTCTCCACTGTATCTAAAAGACGACTTCCACAGAACCAGGCTCCAAAAAAAGTGAGGGCTTTATAGATGAAAACTATCTGTAATTATCTGAAATGTTGGGTGAAGTGCTCCAGCGCTCAGCTCTGCTTCACCTTTCCAATCTGCTGCTCTAGCTCAGCTTCGGCAGGGCCTCGAGCGCACCACTCCGCCAGGTGACATTTGGCCAGCCAGCACTCCCCTAAGTGCACAGAGCACTGGTCTCTCTGCATACCGAAAGGGCAAGGCAAATTCGAGTACTACAGGAAGGTCAGCACTTTCCCAGTTTCCAGTCCTTGTATTTCCCTCTCACTGTGTGGCGTGACAGGTTTGGGCAGGGATTCCCACAGCTACACATTTAAAAATGGAAATAGGAATATTTATGTGTATCCACATATGTACATCATTAGCTGTCAGCTACATTCTCAGATAATTTAGTTGGATTCAGAGGGCTTTTTCTGGTTAAATTCTAGCAGAATTCATTAACATTCACACAATAGACAGAAACACCAGCCAAGATCAGGCCCGCACTGTGCTAGGCTCTATCAAAACATGTAGCAAGAAAGAGAGAGCAATTTAAACAGAAAAGGCAGGCAATAGGTGAAAGAAAACAGTATTGGTTCCACCTTGCAGGCAGTGAACATGGGCAGAGAACTTTAGGTCACATATGGAGGTTTATGGCCCAGCTGTGAAATCTACATCTCTTCTGCTGCCGCGAGTTCAACCGAGAATGAAATGTAAGAGCTTTTTGAGCATTTTTTGTTTCTCTTATTTGAACAGTTCAATTCCTTATATCTTGCTACTGTAGCACAGAAATGTTGAACAGGCCATTTTTACTTCCATGGGAGATCAATTACAATATTAAAATACCACCAACAAAAACCAAAGAAACCAGGAACTCAAGGTTATTTACCTTAGATTCTTTCTTCTTTGCTTTCTGGGGCAAAGAAGGTCTCTGAAGAAATACAATTTGCTTTGTAGATAAATTCCCCTCCCTGAAAAGAAATAAATGCACACTCCTGAGAATGAATTAAATTCACATCCAGCATCATTCAAAGCAAAAATCCATCTCAGTCATTTATTTCTGCAGGTCAAAGAACAACAAAATGAAGAATGACCTAAACGTTGCCTGTCCCCAGAGTCTTGGAGCAGCCCGGTATTTTGGGGGAGGGGGAAGAGCCTGTCAGCCTGTGACATACTTTTGCTGAGCGTTTTAGCATTAGTGTGTAAACACAGAGTAATTTTTTTTAAGCAAAAAACCTGAGCCCCATGGTGCCTGTGTGTAGCAGTGTCTCAGCGACACAGGAGTGCTCCCTCCTTCCCAGGGCACCGATCCGGAATGGGGCTGGGTGCTCCCTACAGGCACAAACTAACGCCACCAGCGGTTAGACTGGGTGGGTGCCCTTCTGCACTGTCAACCTGACCGGTGTTTCTGAAGTTACAAATGGGATACAGAAAGCGAGAAGAGAAAGAAAACCATATATGCCTTTAAGAGACAGGGATTACAAATCATAATTGTGATTTTCTATTCATTCCTATATTCAAAGATATACGAAAAACTTAAAATACCCCAGCACAGATGGCCTTTACTTTTTAGGTTTTCATGTGTAGGAGTAGTCTTCATCTAGATCTCATAAAGTATTTTTAAGATTAAAAAATCATGACTGATTATATTGGTGTATATGTATATAAATATATTCCTGAGCAGTGAAAATTCAGAAAGCACCATCTTCATGATTAACAAGTGGGATGAATGCTTTTCACCACAGTTATGATGAGTATTTTTAAGTGACTTGCATTTATAATCAAAAACTCGGACTATTATTAATAACAAAGTAGACCGCAGAACGATTACACATGCAAACAAGGCTTCTAGAGTAATGGCACACCAATCTCACGTGGTTCTTCTCAGCTAGACTGTGTGTATCAGCAGCATTAGACAGACATCGATTAAGAATAAAATTACTTTTCTTCAGATCGGCAACATCTCACTCAAAACGTGATCACAGGTTTTGTCTTAGAGCAAAGAGGAGCTACTGGGAGATCCAGAGCAGGATTTTTACAAACGAGTTTACAGAGAGGCAGAGAGAATACCCAGAAAATTCATGCAGAAACCACACTGCCACTTTGCAGTATGTTGCCTGCCAGACACGTGCTTCCTGCCCCACGTGGCTTGTGACGCTCAGAAAACCCGCAGAACAGCTGCAGCAGGGTTTGCAAGGGCTGCTACCGCGCACGTGCAAGGAGATCCATGCCAACTGCACGGAGAACCGCTTGTGCGGACCGTGGTGCTCGTACAGCGACTTCCCTGTCCCAAACGCAGTGCCCACCCCCTCCCTACCTGTTCGTCTTCACAATCGGAGTAGGAAGCACGCACGTCAGCTGCCAGCCGTACACGGCAAGGGAATTCAGCAGCGGAACGTAATCTGTCTGCACTTCGACTCCCTAGCAAAGAACAATCAACAGTTAGCATCGTCACTTGGAGTGAGACATTCAGTTTGACGCACACAAAAACATAACAAAGAAAAAAGATACATGTGTGGGTTTCCTGGGAGGGAGAAAGGGGTTTTGTACTGAAGTGGGTCATTTTGAATGTTCAGCTAGGCAGGAAGGAAAATGTTTGAAAACATGAGACATGGGACCGGTCGGCCCATACATCACAAACTGTTAAATTTGAGTTTGTTCAAAATGGTAAACATCTGTGATCTTGCTTTTACACTGCCCAAGTCATCCATCTAGCTTTAGACGATTCCAGATCTGAACAGGGCAAATTCATTGCATTTTATCAATTATCTCCTCCCAAGCAAAAAGATATTCAAGTAGTTAAAAAATGACAGCATTGCTTTTCTCGGTTTCTGCTCTTGTCTAGGCTAGGGTAAATCCTGAAGATCTGTACTGAAATCAGTTGGATTACTCTACCATGATGGATCAAAAGCAAAGTAGCCAACAGCAACAAAAAGAAAATATAAGTACAGGTCTTTTCCTTTTATCATCCACAAAGACACATCGCCTCCCCCATATTTTGAATCAGGAAATCTGTGGGCGAGACCAAAAGCATTGCCTTTCAGTGCTGAAGTCTGGCTGCAGCCGCAGATCTACCCAGCAGAGCCTTGCTAATTCTCTTTCTGCTAAATGGCAGACCCTGTAATTTGCACAGAAAGAACCACTGGTGGTTTCAACAAAGATTGCTCCAGTGAGGAGGTGTCTCATTGCCAAGACTTCCAGTAATTTAGGAAAAAGATGCTAGAGCATATTTACTAGTTTTTAATTTTAATAAACACAAAGCAGGTAAATGGTAACTACTAGTCTCTACAAATACAGCTGCATTCCATTGGAGTAACAATTATATTTGCCAGAAAGCTCAGGCACTTACCCTGGTTTCATGTGTGTGCAATGGGTTTTAGCTGCCAATTCTCAACACTGGGTAAGGCACAATAGTTTTGCAGCTCCAAAAAATCCATTTATTCCGCAGTAATAAAATAGTCACTAGATCAGAACTAATCCAAATCCTGCTGTAGTTATTTCAAGGTATTTTAGTGAATTCCAGTCTCAGCTATTCCTTTCTTCTAACGAATGTAATTTAGGTCACTTGGTATCTTCATAACTGAATGACTGCCTGACTGTATCTATTAGAAACCTGATCATGACTACAAATGCAAATAGCTGAAGAAGCTGTATCACTTTTGCTTAAAAAGGAGAATGTTTAAAAACTCTATTCCAGAAAGTGCATGCGAGAGAACACTCTACTAATGTTACTTCTGATTTCTGTACAGAGGCTTTCGGGGACTTACAGAGTTACTTTACAGCACCCCGATGTACAGACCAGAATTGCTAACTCCACGAGAGGAAAGAGATGCCCTGCAAGAGGGGAGCAATACCGCTTGGCCTTTGACTCACGTCCTCTGAAGCCATCGGGACTTATCTTACAGCTGTGATCATGGTAGATTCAGAGTCTCTCGAGGCTCCCACCTCCCTCTGTAAGATGGATATTTCCACCTTCTTTCCAGTTTTTAAAATAGAGTGTCCAAGAGTAATGCAAAAATTATGACATACCTAGATGTCTTCAAGAGCTAATGTCTTAAGAAAACACATTAATAACACACTGAGATTTGTGAGATTGGTCAACAACGCCTTCCAAAAATAAAGACGAAAAAATGCAACATGAGCATTAAGAATAAGGGCAGAGCACCCGCCATTGCAATGCCGTGAGGTGCCTGGAAGAACACATAAAAGGAACTAACCAAAACATTCCCTCCATCAAACAGTGTTTGTCAAGGAAAAAACAGGAGGAGCTCACTCATTTAGAGGGTGGAAGACTAGTAGGTCAGGAAAGCCTGGCACGGCAGACCTTGTTTGTGCCCCAAGCAACGTTTTATGTTGCAAAGAGGATTTCTATTTTGAATTCATTGCCCGAGGCTGGTGATTAGCAAGGAGAACCTTCTCCTTGCATCAGGATATGCAACAAACGTCAAAAATCAGAGGGAGATTACGGTGATGTGGAAGGACATCAATATCACGCAGAGCTCATTTGGCCACTGCAGAAGCCAAATTGTTTCAGGGACACGCCATCACTCCTGCCACAGCCCCCTGTCCCTGCAGGCTCTGAGTGGCGAGACGAGGCTGCCTTTGGACCTGTCTGACTTGTCAGGGTAAGCATCATCTGCAGCAGATGATGTTGTATTTCACAATCCCAATGGTGCAGAAAGCAACAGAGCAGGTAAAGCATGTTAAAAAGTATAAAGTTATCGGAAACTAATTTTAAATTAAAGTCAACTAGGTTTAAAGAAAAAGTTTTTTTAAAAGTCTGGAAAAGTAAGAACTCTGTTGAAAGAGTGCTGTGCAACTGCTACAAAAAGGTGACCTCTTGTTTTTCATGTGTGCTGGTACCCGACACCACAATCTGCATGTTGGGCTGTTTGGAGGAAGGAAGCCTACATGTCATGCAGAAGTGCACACCCCCTCCGAGCCTGCACGCTCTTTAACAAGCTCTCTGCACCTCTGCACGACGCTTTGCTGAAGTCAGACACCGCACCTCTTCCCCAGGTCCCCGGGGGAATAAACTACTCCTAATAATTGGCTACGTCTGAAGATGACAGACAAGAGAAAGGAGTCACTCCTGAATAAACAGGTGTAAGTCATACGGGCTTCAAGCTCCTTACTTGCAAATACAGATAATTGAAGCTTTCTTTAAAACCACAAGAAATGACTTCTCCCTCCCCCTCCTGAATCATTGGTTGTAATGCTGTCCCATGACTGGAATTTGTGTGCCAGCAGGAGTCACGGTTATACAGATCTTTAATTGGTGTCATATTAAATGCTTTCCAAAGCAAAAATGCTTCTAAACAAACAATACACTGGGGAACGGGTGCAGAGGAAAAGAGTCATCTTGTATTCATTTTATATTTAATACAATAATTTTATCTATTATTATTATTTGAGACAATGGAAATAAAAATTCAAACATACAGTTCTGTAAGATGAAATTGCAACGCTCTTTCTTCCTAGCAAATACTGGATTTGAACACCAGCAGAAGCAGAAAGTACATGCCAGAGCTCTACTGAAAAAAAGGTGTTCAAATAATGCATCTCAAACTGGGAGACATTTCATTCAGTGAAAGGGTGGAAAATTTTAATTAACTTGCTTCCCACTCTCCTGTGGATGGTAAGTAATCTCTGATCACACCTTGAGTGTCAAGAAGCCAGAGCTTATTGAGCTAGGTTTTTCCCTTGACTTGCATCACATGAAAAGAATTCATTTTATTTATAGTTGTACTGTTTATTTCCAGCATTTTCTTCTTTCACAGTAGATTCTCGTCATTAGGAAAAAAAAAAAATTAAAAAATGATAACATCTAGGGCAAGCCATGAAAACAACTGTATTAACAATTTTTCTTTTCTTTCCCCCCCCTACTGTGGCAATTTTAACCACAGCAAGATAATAAAACAGGACGACTACTAAGCTCTTGTGAGACAGAAGTTCTTAAGAAATCATTCTTTCCTGGGTTAAGTGAATGTGATTTAGTTACAAGGCAGCTATGGATTGTCACTATTTAATATTTTTTTCCAGCAAGGATTAAAGAGTAGAAGATTGAAAATCCCATTAAATAAATCTTAATAAAACCTTTTTCAGCAAATCCTAACAGACTGCATACTAAGATCTACAGACAGATGGCAAAAGGAATGGGAAGTAAAAAACATGAGTGGCTTTGAAAGTGTAACCTACTGTTTGTTGAGGAAAATGGGCAGTGTGTTCAAACCCAGCTCCTGCAAAAAAATAGAGGGGAGAGCCCACGAGGGTGGCAACACGCACCCCAGCCAGGGCTGGTTACCAGTCCCCACCACTGCTAAGGCCAGAGCTTTCTCTCCTAGGGCACTTAAGGGAGGAAGTGGCGACGACAGGACTTGCACCTTAGCGGAAAAGAAGGAAAATAAAATGAGAAATTGAATATATGGCTGTGCGAGGATGAGCCGGTAAAAGCATGCTGCAAATGTTCTATGTTTGCAGTAACACAGCTGACAAGGAGGCTGAATCCAAGCTCTAAATTTGTGAATTATTTGCCTTTTTCCTTTTAAGATTTCTTCCAAAAGGTAATTTCTGCTAACAATATAACATCATCGATCCATTAAAAACATTTATTGGAAGCAGAAGAGACGTTTCACAAGTGTTTCAGCAATAAAAGTTGGACTATGCTCCTCTAGTATCGAGCCGCTCCGAAATTTCCGTGTGTAACACATGGCAGCACCTTGCTAGCAGACGCTTCCTACACACCCATCAGCTGTACCGCAGAGGGGTGTGGGACGGCTCCTGCACCCTTAGAAACCACCAGTGGCTTTTGGCAGCTGATGGGTCACTGACCAACACTGACAACCTGCCAGATTGGGACCTTAGCGGAAAGTTAATAGGGAAAAAAAAATGAAATCCAGAGACAGGCTTTTTTGCTCATTATTCTGGGCATATGTAATTTAGAGCTATTTATGATTACTTAATATATGTGAATTCATGCACTGTGAAATATTTTTGAGAATATAATAAGGCTGTGTGGGGTATATATATATGTATGGCTATATGGGGTAGTTTTTCTGCGATTCAGATGTATCCAGTCACAATTTCAGTACACACCTAGGCTGCTGAGTAGCATTCACATCTGTCTCCACATCTAGGGTAAAATTAAAAAAAACACCAAAACACCCTTCTGTGGCCCACAAAGCCCACTTCTCTGTGACTTTTGCAGATGCAAATCTTACTTTCTAGCATAGGTATAAACTAACAAAAATGTCTGAGGGCTCCTGATATTGCCTGTACCTGTTAAACAGAAGCACATTTGCACAGCAACACAATTTTGCATTTATAGAAGCACAGGCTAGGTAGCAAAACCTCCACAAGGTGAACCTGTTGACACAGAGGGTTCTCCACAAAAGAAGCATGAGAGCATCTTATGAAATGTC